TCCGACCTTGCGGCTCCCGCCATCCTACTTCCATCGATAGGACGAGCAACATCCAATGAATCTTCGGCTAGAACATGGAAATATACACTACCTGGTACTCCCCGCTCCTGAAACCCGCCGCGCTATTCGACAAACCGCTCGCGACGCAAACAACAAAAACTTTTGAACGTCCAAGCGGACGGAAAGAAAATTTTTTTTTGAACAGGCAAGCATCGCGCGGTTCCACAAACCGCAGGTACTCCGCCCATGGAACCGGGGAAAAAACAAAAAAAAAGTTCCGGCCAACCGTCGCGCGGTTCTTCAAACCGCTGGTACTCCGCCCGTGGAACCGGCACGCGGACTCCCACAAGGGAACCGGGTCTCCCGTGGGTCCGTCACGCGAGACCCCCGTTTTCCTTTATATGTATAGAGACTCCGCCCGTGGAACCGGCAGGCGGACTCCCACGAGGGAACCAGGTCTCCCGTGGGTCCGTCACGCGAGACCCGCGTTTTCCTTTATATGTATAGAGAAGTACAAAATGTATCCTGATTATTCCTGGATTGAACATTCCCGATCTGTCTTTTTCATACTTGCGGCGCATCGCGATGCGCTGCACTGCGCATGTGCGCCGCATTGCGCATCCCGCACCACGCGCGCTCACTGCATGCGGCGCACCTCCAAAAATGGGGGTCAAAAAAAAAAAAAAAAAAGTTGTGAGGGGCGGTAGTAGACCCGGCCCCCTGCTCGCGTAAAATAAGAAACGGGCAGCCAAATTTTTGTTGGAGGCCGTGCGTTGGCCTGAAAGCTTTTAGTAACCTGTAGTTCGGGTAACACTCTGTGTGTGTGGTAGGGTTATTGCAGTCTGTATGGTAGGGTTCTTGCAGGCCAGATTGCCCGAGTGTCGCCCGGCACGTCCAACCTGTCAGAACCTCAACGGTAATTGCAGTCTGTATGGTAGGGTTCTTGCAGGCCAGATTCAGTCATGATGAGGGTCGCGATCTCTCAAAACATTCTCTTCGTATGACTTCTGAAGTAGAAAACGACGGAACTGGCAGCCGTTTTTCCTGGATTTTTTTTTTTTCAATAAAAGGAAAAAACGTAAAGGAAGAAAGCACGAGTGAAGCCCGGCACGTCCAACCTGTCAGAACCTCAACGGTAATGTTTACCAACGGGCTCGCCGCACTACTCTCGACATGCACAACAAGACGTACATGGCAATGTATCTTTCCATGTTCAAGCGGAGGATTCAGTCTCATTTGTTCAGAGATTCTCCAAAAAAAAAAAAGCCCGTTGATAAGGGCGGTTTCTTCGGTCCGATAGTGTCAGCACACGGTTCTTCTCTCTCTCTCTCTCTCTCTCTCTCTCTCTCT